CCTGCGGCGCGCGCAGCTGATGAATAAGACCCGCCATCGCTCGGACGTCCACTTCCCGTGGATTTTTTCGATTTCGTGCGTTTTCCTGTGTTTTGTACAAGAAGATGTGCCCAATGGTCCTCGCCGAGGAGAAAACGCACACGTCCGAAAGATGCCAAGATAGAGGGCAGAAGATCCACCCCGATAGTAACCACCCCGACACGCGAGGCCTTTAGCAAACGCGCCCAGAGGAGGAATCGAACAAGGCAGGGCTGTTTTGTGAACGCCCAAGGCCGTTCAGTAAACGCCAGTTGTCCGGCCCGGGTGAATTTCTTTGGTGTTGTGTTTTGTATGAGAAGATGTCCCTCAATGGTCCTCGCCGGGGAAAAAACGCACACGTCCGAGCGATGCCAAGAACAGGACACGTCACACAACACACGGCGCGGAGACGGCGCGCCGCCCCCACGGCGCGCATGGCCCAGCGGACTGGGGAGACCGGCCGTCGCGCTCAACCGCTCGAGCACGGCGCGCGGGGGCGCCGTTGAGGGGCGGGGTGCGGTTGGTTCGCGCGGCGTCGGCGCGCGCAAAGGCTTCTGACACCGCGTCGATCGTTCAATCTTGAATCGATCGCGGCCCCGATTGTTCAAGTGGAATCCAGTCGGGTCCAATGGTATTACCGTGCCCTTCGGTGCTTCCGCGTCGCAGAAGTCAACCTTTAACGCCTTCGCTGGCGTCGCCAACGCGTCAACGCCGCACGAACCTACCGTACGGAATGGAAGGGCGATGATAAAGATCGGCTTAGACTTACGGCTTCCCCAGCTCGTAGGGAACGTGGCAGTCAACTCTTCTCCAGGGCAGAACATCGTGAAGAAGAAAACACGACGGAAGGAATACCCACTAGCAGTGTGGAGGTCCACGCGACAAGTGTTTATTATCAGGCGGTCAACCAGGTACGCGCTACGCCGTATGAAAGTGCCAGAGCGGATCCCGCCACTCAGAGGAGCACCTCTGGGAGCGGTCCCACCCCTGAAAAGAAGGGTCAAGCTGTGGGCGCAGGTCGCACAACTGGCTGGGGAGTCCAACGAACTGTGGCTGTGGCCGCACACAAAAGGCTGTGTCGCAGGTCGCACCACGGTGGGAGTCGCCGCACCCTGGCGGAGAACTCGCGGGAGGGGCCGCGAACCTGCATGTGCTGCGAACCTGTACAAGCCGTTCGCAAATCGTTTGCGACTCCAGGTTGCACCACCGCCGCGCGTAAATACCAGGCTGGACACCCAACGCAGCAAGCAAACTGAAACAGAGGCACACGAGCCGTTCGGGACAGTTCAGGACACAAGCACCCGCGGGCTGAGGCGCACCACTCCCGGCCAGCGATCGGGACAGGACTCCCAGCGCCTGGACTGGTGTCTAGTCGTGTCCTTCTGACTTGTCGTGTCCTTCGAAATCCCTGGCCAGCTTCAGCTAACTTAGGTTTAGGTCGGGCGTGTCCCCCTACAGGGGGATTTTGGACGAAAAATAAAAATAGTCAAAAATATGCAAAAATGGTCAAATCATAATAATAGTAAAATCGTCCCCAGACAATTTTCACTATTTCTGAATGTCCATCCTGTAGAGTCTACAGAGTGACAGGCCCGACTTAAACTTAGGTGGTGGCCGCGGCCGACTCCACCTCACTTTAGGCGCTCGCGGGCGCCGGGCTCCCCTGGCCTCACCTCTGCCGCTGCCTCTGCCACGCGCCTAGCAGGAGACCAGCGCAAGCCCACGTACGCTACGGTGGAGGTGTCCACAAGAAACCTTCCACAAGAAACCCAACCCTGAGACCCCAGGACGTCCACCGACTTTTGGTGCGGGAGCGCTACGCTCCCCATGGCAAAAGCATCGAAACCCAGGAAACCCAGGGCACCCTGGAGGCAAGCAGGGTGCTTCTCGGCATGGGCCTCGGCATGGGCATTGGGCAACCCACGACGGTGATCGCAGCACGCCAGGTCGGCCTCTGCCAGGGGAGCCACCATCGAGGCGGCGGTCTGGCGCAAGCCAGCGGGGGCGCCGCCCCGCCCGCGGCGTCCCTGCGGTGGGCCGCGCCCCTGGGGGGGCGGGCGGCCCAGCAGTCGCGGGCGCCTCGCGACCTGGCCGGGAGGATGGCCTGGGTGTCAGGCTGAGGAGGGGGAAGAGGAGGAGGAGGGGGAGGAGGAGGAAGAGGAGGGGGGGGAGGAGGTGGAGGAGGAGGAGGAGGGGAAGAACGAGGAGGAGGAGGAGGAGGTGGAGGAGGAGGATGGGGAGGAGAGGAGGAGGAGGAGGAGGAGGGGGGAGGAGGAGGAGGAGGGTTGGACAATAACTGGTCGCCCGCCTTCGCGCACGCGCCCCGCGATGCGCGGTCCTCTTCACGCCGTCCTCTGGGAGAAAGGGCAACGGGCCTGATCCAGACCGCGACGCGCGAAGTGCGGTTATCTTCGCGCCCCTCGGGGCGGCCTGGGAGAATCGGACAGCGGAGCGAGCAGCCCAGACGGCCTGCGACCTGGGGGGCAGAGCGCCCTCTCGTGCCCGCGCTTGAGGGGGAGCAGGGGGAGAGGGGGGAACGAGACTGACTGACTGACTGATCCTGCATGGATACCGACTTCCGAAGTGAGCTACCCTCAAGCCCAGTAGAGCCTGGTAAGCGGGTTTACGCCAGAAGGCCTTGCTTGTGCACTGCTGGGAGCGCTGGGCCGGGGGGAATGGGGCGCAAGGGCGGGCCCGGGGGTATCTGGGGAAGGGGGAAGGGGGACCCGAGGCGGAGGCGGAGGGGAGGAGAACAAGCGAATGGGGGAGGAGAACGGAGAGGGGGAGGAGACAAGACAGGTGCGCTCGAACCGTACCTAACATCCTAAACCTCCCGCCAATATCTGCCCATAACGCTGATTTCTCTCTCTCTCTCTCTGTCTCTCTCTCTCTCTCTCCGCTGACGAGTGTCCTGTCGGACCTGGATCCGCCAAATGACCCTATCGCGCGATGCGCAAACACACATGGGAGATGTCCACGGTGGTTGGACGAGGAGGTGGCGGATGACCAGGAGGACGAGCAGAAGGAAGGGGAGGAGGATGAGGATGAGGAATGCAGTGGAGGCCAGTCCACAAGAAACCTCGCACAAGAAACTCAACCCTGAGACCCCAGGACGCCCATGGATTTTTGGCGTGGGGACATCGCGCTCTCTACAGCAAAACCATCGAAACCCAAGAAACCTAGGGCACCCTGGAGGCAAGCAGGGTGTTTCTTGGCATGGGCCTCCACTGTACCAGCAAAAGTAGGACCAGGAGGAGCGTGAGGACCAGTGGAAGGCGAAAGAGGGGACAACGAAGAGTGCGACGGCGACGAGGACGGAATCGGATACCACCACGTGGCCAACGCTTAGGTCGGGCGTGTCTCCCTACAGGGGGGTTTTGGGTGAAAAATTTCAACTAGCAAAACACTACTCCAACATAGTCAACATAATAATACCAATCAAAACATCGTCCCCAGGCTATTTTTTGACTGTTACTGAATATTTCTCCCGTAGAGGGACATGCCCGACTTAAGCCAACGCTGTGGCGAGAGCGCCATATCGAACGACGGGAGCAAAGCGCCGATTCTGGCATGAGGCCAACGCTGCAGCAGGTAAGACGAAAAGGAATGGATGGGCGAGGAGAGGGGAGGTGGAACAGGGGGAGGAACGAGAAGGGATGGGATGTCTTACAACACTGAAGCGAGCCCATGCGGCGCTAGGCGAATACCTAAGAAAGGCTGGGGGAGGAGATTGGGAATGGGGGAGGATGAGCACAGAGGACAGAGGGAGAGAGGTGGCCAGGGCGAGGGGGAGAGGGGATTGGGAAGCAGAAGGGCATGGGTAGAGGCCTCCCAAATGGGATCCGAATAGATAGGGTCGGAGGATCCCGCCGCATCGCCGATGCATCGGCGATGCATCCATGATGCATCGGCGAAGCATGGGCGGTGCACCGGCGACGCAGGCGCGGAGAAAAGCAAGCTCTGCATCGAGCCGCATCGCCGACGCATCGGCGACGGCGCGATCCTCCGACCCCATCCGGGAGGCTCAGGCGGGGGGGAGCAGCAGGGGGGGGCGGGGGGAGACGAGGAAGTTGCGTGCTCGACCATGGACCCCTCGTTGCCCAGCGCTCCGGGGCCGTCATCGGCCTCCTCCTCCTCCTCCTCCGCCTCCTCCTCTCTTCTCCTCTCTTCCCCTCCTCCTCCTCCTACTCCTACCTCTCCTCCTCCGCCTCCTCCTCCTCCACCTCTCCTCCCTTCCACCTCCTCCTCCTCCTCCCTCCTCCTCCTCCTCCTCCTCCTCCCTCCTCTCTTCTCCCTCCTCCTCCTCCTCCTCCTCCTCCTCTCCTCCTCCCTCCTCCTCGTCTCCTCCTCCTCCTCCTCCTCCTCCTCCTCCTCCTCCTCCTCACCCCCCCTCCTCTCCTCTCCTCCTCCTCCTCCTCCTCCATCTCTCTCCTCCTCCTCCTCCTCCTCCTCCTCCTCCTCCTCCTCCTCCTCCTCTCGGCGGTCTTCTCTGGCGGCCCTCGGCGTTTTTTTTTTTTTTTGTTTCCCCCTTTTTTGTTCGGCGGCCTCTGGCGGTCTCTCCAGCGTGCCTGCGGCGCGGGAGCGGGATGGGGCTGCGCTCGGCAAGGGGTCCGTGATCGGACGCCTAAAGTGAAGTCGGGCCTGTCCTCCCACACTCGCCATCGCTCGGACGTCCATTCCCTGTGCTTTTTTCGGCTTCGTGCGTGGTTTCTTCGCCAAGTGATCAAGGATGCTCCTCTATTGTCCTCGCCGCAGGAAACATGCACGCGTCCGAGCGATGCCAAGTACAGGGGGATTGTGGACGAGAAATAAAACATAGTCAAACAATAACCCCAAATGGTCGAGAAACGCTCGACAGATCGTCCCCAGACTATTTTTTGGGACTATTTTTGAATATTCCTCCTGCAGAGGGACAGGCTCGACTTAGGCCTACAGGAGAGGAAAGAGGACGAGGAGAACGAGCTCGCACCACTGTGCACCATCCGGAGGGCAATCTCACAAATCCGCGATCAGGGCACCAGTCCAATTCCACCCATCCATGCGGGCTGAAGCTGAGCAGTGCTTGTCGTGTTCGCTCCGTGCTCGTTTCCACTCGCTCTGTCTTCGTTCCACCGTTTTGCCGCAAAGCGAGATCAAGAGAAGACAGTCCACGACATCGCCAAAACACCGTTTCGCTCGCGCGCTGACCACCTTCCCCCTCCAGGCGCGCAGGGGTTCCTCGTCTCCTCCTCCTCCTCCTCCTCCTCCTCCTCTCTCCTCCTCCTCCTCCTCCTCCTTTCTCCTCCTTCTTTCTCCTCCTCCTCCTCCTTTCTCCTCCTCCTCCTCCTTCTTTCTTCTCCTCCTCCTCCTCGCCCCCCTCCTTCTTTACCTTTCCCTCCTCCAGGTGCCAGCGCCTCTTTTCTGCATCGGGCCCCCGCGTGAGGAATGGCCCCTTCTTTGGTATACGGCACTTGCTCACGGTGGCCCCGCTCCTCGGGTCTCCGAGCTTGAGGACAGTTATTGCAGGTGTTGCCCCGCTGCTCGGGGTGCCAGCGCTTGGAGCGGTCCCAGTTTCCCAGTCCCTTTGCACTGGCAGGCTGAGGCTAGCCACTGTAGCGGCCGCGCGCAGCGGCGACCGCCACCTGGAGGCCCATGGTGGCCTGTCAGGAGGCCCCAATGCATCGAGCGGAGTTGGTCTCGGCTGACTCCCCCTCGGTGGCGCGCTCTCGCCTGTCCCTCCTCCTCCTCCTCCTCCTCCTCCTCCTCCTCCTTCCGTCTCCTCCTTCTCCTCCTCCTCCCCTCCTCCTCGTCCTCCTCCTCCTCCTGCTCCTCCTGCTCATCCTCCTCCTCCTTCTCCTACTCCCTCCTCCCCCTCCTCCTCCTCCTCCTCCCCTCCTCCTCCTCCTCCTCCTCCTCCTCCTCCTCCTCCTCCTCCTACTCCTCCTCCTCCTCCTCCTGGTTCCTGGTGCCTGGAGGCATGCGGTCCCGGTGAGTGCTGCCTTCCCTCCCCAGGACCGGTCGGCCCTAGGAGATTGATCAAACTGAAGCCAGGTGGCCCCTGGAGCACAGCTCCAAGGGCCTCTGGAGGGCATATGAAGTGTAACTGCGGGGCAGACAGACAGACGAGGAGAGGGAGTCCTCCTTCTCCTCCTCCTCCTCCTCCTCCTCCCCTCCTCCTCCTCCTCCTCCTCCTCCCTTCTTTTTCCTTATAGACAACTTCTCCCTGTCGCAACCCGAGGCAAGTTTTTCGGGCGGGCCGGGCGTTTCGCCTGAGGCTTCCTCACCATTTATGACCCTGAAGCTTACAAAGTGGCAACAGTTTCACATATGGAGGGCGGGTGGTTTTCAAAATGTGGCTCTCGCCTTAGCGCGGCGCACACTCGTTTAAATAATTGCAAGAGTTTCGCAGATTGTGGGCGAGTCGTTTTCCAAAAAGTGGCTCTCGCCTTGGCACGGCGCACATTCGTATCAACAAATTGCAAGATTTTCGCAGATTGAGGGCGGGTGGTTTTCAAAACGCGGATCTCGCCTTCGCGCCGCGCACATTCGATTTCAAACATTGCAAGAGTTTCACGGATTGAGGGCGGTTCCTTTCGAAATGTGGCTCTAGCCTTAGCGCCGCGCATATTCGTTTTAACAAGTTGCAATATTTCCACGGATTCCCATCTTCAACGTACCAGAAATAGTGTTCAGGAAAGATTCAGGATCATGCGGGTGCAACAGTTACGATGATTCTCTGTGTTGAAGTCCTAGGAATGGCGTTCTGACGCGACTCCGGATCGCCAAGACGCAACAGCAAGTTGATCCGTGGCGTTGGAATCCCGAGAACAATGTCTTGGCAAGCTTCAGGGTCTTCAAACGGGTGTCTTCCAACGAGGCAGTTCCATCAATGGAAATAAACCGTTGTAGGAGCCTATGGAGAGGGAGCTTGGAGGGAGGGTTTACTCCAACATCGTTGATGACTCCTGGGTTTGCACTGGTCCTCCTCCTCCTCCTCCTCCTCCTCCTCCTCCTCCTCCTCCCCCTCCTCCTCCTCCTCCTCCTCCTCCTCCTCCTCGTCCTCTTACGTGCGTCCGCGACCCGTGCCGCACGCAGGCCCGCGCTCCGCGCGCCAGGGAAGGGGGGTCCAGCGCCGATCCGAGAAATCCGCGCCGATCCGAGAAATCCGAGAAATGTTATGCCATTCTTTGCTCCCTCAACATTTGCCCCCTTGGGCCTTCCTCCCCAGGCACGCCCGCCCGAAAGAGATCGGACAATGTCGCAATCGAGCCGACAGGACGCCTCCTCCCTCTCTGACGCCTTCCCTATTGGGGAAGGGGGTCCCGCAAGGGATCCAGAGGTGGTGCCAAAGGGTGGTGCATGCAATCCGGGCCCACCAGTAACAATCTGGTCGGGGATCTACTGATCCGGGTCAATCCGAATCTGGGTCAGCCAAACTCCGCAGGATCCTGGAAACTCCTGCAAGATCCTTCACCCAAGCCCGGGTCAATGCAACCCTTGCGTTGTAGGATCCTGCAAGATCCAACGCTCTGACTGACCCCCGTTTGCATTGACCTCCGTCTCTTGAGCCCCGGTCTGGGCTGACTGGGCCCAATCTTGGCCACATGCGAAGTTGGCTCGTGTCAATCTTGGCAACCTTTACACATTCTGGCGGCGGGCGCGGGGGGAAGTGAAAAAAGGGCGGGCCTTCTCAGAAGGCTTGGAAATTGCCCAGCCCTGTGACAAATTTTCTCAGCCTCCCCCGAAGCTACAGAAAGCCTCTCAGAATGCCGGAGGCCTTCTGAGAAGCCCCGCCGCCTTCTGAGAAGGCCTTCTCCTTCTCGCTTCCCTCCCTCACTCGCCGCCGAATCTGGGCCCACCAATAACAACCTGGGCTGACTGGGCCCGATCCCGGCCTCATGCGAAATTGGCTCGTGTCAATCCTGGCAGCCTTTGCACGTCAGCTGGGCAGTGCAGAAACGCTTGCGACATCCGCCACCGCGCCGCCGCGAGGCCAGGCGCTATGGAGGGCTGCCTCTCGGAGCCCTCTCGGACCTTCTCCCTGGCCTCTTCTGGGCCGTGCTGAGGCCGTCTGGCCTCGGGAAACATCTGGCGACTAGGCTCGAGAAGTCTACAGTAGCACCCCGCAGTTGCGGATCTGAGTGAGTGGGCGGGCGCAGGATGGGTCGCGGGGTGGGCCGCGGGCGAGTCGCGGGTGGGTCGCGGGGTGGGCCGCGGGGCGGGCCGCGGGTGGGTCGCGGGTGGGTCGCGGGTGGGTCGCGGGTGGGTCGCGGGTGGGTTCGGGAAAAATCTAGCGACAAAGCCTGAAAAATCTACGGGGGCATGCCAGACCCTCTGGGAAATCCGGCACTTTGGCGCACAGGCCCCGCAAGGATTGCTGACTCCTGGGGCTGCTCAGGCCGATCCCGACCTTCGATCCGACGCCCGCCCGCCTCGTTGTTGCACGGCCCCGCTGCGTGCCCCCGCACGTCCCTCAGCGGTGCAACTCTCCCGGGCGTCGTTTCAGGATGTGCTGGTGGAGATGCGCGAAGCGACAAGACCTGACCGGTACCGCTCCCATCAGCCCTGACATGTATCAGCTGTGTGTTCAGGTATTCGGCTTGCTTGAGTACACTTCAGAAGGTTATCTTAGAAGCTGTGTCTTGCCCTGTCGAGATTGGATCACTGTTCTGGACTCCCATCTTAATTGGCGATCTTTCTAGTAGTGATTGCAATATGTTGCACTTCTTCGAAGCGCACGGGCATGCAACCTCTCAATAAAGGTCCCCAGTGAGATTATAGACTCCCCACATCTTCAAACATCTCCTAAGATGCCTGAGGACTTTCAATGACCCCCAACGGTTTTCAAAAGCCTGCAAAGACTTGAATAGACCCGTAAACACCTTCGAGGCATTCTACGACATCGCGGGGTCATCATGGACGGTTAACCAACTTCCAAGACCTTGAATGATATTGCGTATTCCTCAAAGCTTCTATGATCCTCAAAGACTTCAGAAAAATCAGGCAAGAACCTCCAAGACAATCCGCGAACTCTGAAGACCGATGGCTTCATCAAGAACCCTGGGTGATACCCGGAGAGTCAATACATCCACGGGACATGCAATACTCCCACATTGTTGTTCAAGAACATACAGAAATACCTCTAGGGCCCGCAAGAACCCTCCAACATGTTCATGGGACCTTTGGTGTTAAGAACAGCCCCAAACCATCGGACACATTGAGCACATTCTGGAACTTCCCCAAAGACAGAACCAACGTTTCCAATTACCAACTGAGATGTGACGAGGCCTACTGAGCAAGAAACTTTCTTCAAGGCTAGCCAGGGCCTGGCATTGAATTGAAGATCCTCCATGGTTGTGAAAGGCCTTTGAGTGCTCTCATCTACATGTAAAGAATCTGGAGGACGCCGACAAGTCTGTGAGGATTCTAAATATTTTCTAAGGGCCCTCGAGGACCCTCGAGGATCTTGAAGGCCTCCAAAGAGCCACCCCAAAACGGCCTCCCAACCAAGAAGAGATGATGATATTAAAGGGCAGGTTCGAGAGCACTCAGGGCTTTCGAAATACCCCCCTTACCTCCATACCTATCAACGTATTTGTCGTAGTCGCTTCGGTGTTTGGTGTTTGGTTGTCGCTGGCTGGTGTTTCGTGTTTGGTGTTTGGCGTTGAGGGGTTGGGGTTCGGTGTCTGCTGTTGAGGTGGTTGACGTTTGGTGTTCGGTGCGTAATTGTAGAATCTCTGCCAACAGTGGTGTACTACTCCAATGAAGGGGCCCTTGGACACACAAATAAATATACAAAAATAAAAGGATTCCCCATATTTTCAATATTTTCGGGGTTTTTGTCTTCCCCCCCACTTCCCATATTTTCCCATAGATTTCTGGGATTGACGATTAATTGTAACTGTGTGTTTTTTTTCCTCCTGATCCAAATGGGGCTGGTACCACTTAGCCGGGATCGGGTCTTGCAAACCCAACTTGGCACGGATATCGGCAACCCCCCCCG